AAGTGCGCGGTATACGGGGAAATATGACTGGTTTCTGTGTATTCTCTAAAGCAAGTGGTATAGTGAGGAATATGGCTGGAGCTTATGGTATTCTTTTGATTTTCTTACCCTAGGATTTCCCTGCATATCAAAAAAATATTACAATGCTATATGACCACCGGTTAGACTAGCACCACGAACAAATACTGGATTCTTGAATGGTGATGGCGAAGAGTGTCTTGCTATTAACCGCTGAATGAATCACTAGCCAGCCCCTTCCGTACTGTATATAAACAGAAAGGCATCTGTTATTAATAATGTTACATAACTAAAAAAAAAAAAAGGTGCCATAATACATTTTCTTAATCCAGATGGATAAATCTCAATGCATGAAGTTTTGGTAAATCATGATTTTTTTTTAACATACATCAGCAGTATGGCAACCCTCCATAGCGACAAGCAATACTGTATTTCTACCGCTTGGTACAGCAATTTGAACCTTAATGGTTCTTTTTTTCTCATTGTCGTCCCCTCACTAGGATGCTATACAAAGTGGACAAAATCATATAACAACTAGACCAAAGCCCCCCAGGTTGGTGCCGCGTGCTACGCGCACGTGAAAAGAGCCTCACGATAGCTGCCCCGCATACTCGCGATCAACAGCCTTACAAAACACACAAAGCTTCCTCGGTCGTCTTTATGAGTTGTAAAATGTCGAATTATAACTCCAGTTCCGAATTAAGCAGCTTTTGAAGCTCCTCGAGCTGTGCTGATCGCTGGTTCCGGCACATTCTATGCTTGCGACCGTAGCACGATGGTTCTGGAAGGTTCGTTCCACGCATAACCCCGCGCTTAGTCTCGAGCCATACAAACCGCCGCTATCCCAACGTCCATCCATCCACCACAGAGAACTGCAACTTCAACATCGCGACAAGAGAAACCCAACTCAAATCCGCTCTACATTCACTATCCAAAATGGCTGACGAGGTATGTAATATCTTGAAGAATTGGAATGCTCGACGGGATCATTTGTTAACTCTCTTATAGCTCAAGGCCAAAGGAAACGCCGCTTTTGCTGCAAAGGACTTTGACACCGCTATGTACGACCTCAATCTCCCCTTGCCCTGCTTCTCGCCTCTCCATCGAATCAAAAGCTTACATTGTACCGCAGCTCCTTCTTTACCCAGGCTATCGATATCGACCCTACCAACCACGTTCTTTACTCCAACCGTTCCGCATGTTACGCCTCTCTCAAGGACTTTGACGCTGCTCTCAAGGATGCCGTCAAGACCACTGGTTTGTGCCTGTTTGCCCGCACCGCTTTCCAAACTATTCTAACATCAATCTACAGAGCTCAAGCCCGACTGGGGTAAAGGATACTCCCGTAAGGGAGCCGCTCTCCACGGTCAGGGTGACTTGAGTAAGCCATTTTCTCCCCCGTCCTGTACATTTTTTCTAACATTTCATAGTCGGCGCTCTTGATGCCTACGAAGCCGCCCTCAAAGTCGAGCCCGGCAACGTCCAGGCCAAGGCTGGACTCGCTGCCGTCAACGATGCCATCCGCCGTGAAGCCGAGGAGGATGGACAAACCCCCGACCTCGGTCTTGGATCTATGTTCAGCGACCCTACCTTCCTCGCAAAGCTTGCCTCCAACCCCAAGACCTCCGCTTTCCTCCAGGACCCCGAGTTCATGCAGAAGCTTCAGCGCGTCCAGAAGAACCCCAACCTTATCCAGGATGAGCTCCGTGATCCTCGTATGATGCAGGTTATCGCTGCTCTCCTCGGAATTCAGATGGAGTTGCCCGAGAACGCTGCTCAGGCTGCTGCTATGGCTGCGGGTATGGGAGGTGACGCTGTTATGTCTGACGCTCCCTCCGCTTCTAAGCCCGCCCCTGCCCCCGCCCAGGAGGAGCCTACTCCTGTTCAGGAGGATGACGAAGCCAAGGAGAAGGCTGCTGCCAAGGCTGCCGCCGACAAGGAGAAGGAGCTCGGAACTGCCAACTACAAGCAGCGTAAATTCCCTGAGGCCATTGCACACTACGAGAAGGCCTGGGAGCTCTACAAGGACATCACCTACATCAACAACCTTGCTGCGGCCAAGTTCGAGTCTGGTGACTTCCAGGGCTGTATCGAGGCTTGCAACAAGGCCGTTGAGGAGGGTCGTGAGATGCGTGCCGACTTCAAGCTTATCGCTAAGGCTTTCGCTCGTATTGGAACCGCTTACCAGAAGATGGGTGACCTCACCAACGCTATTCAGTACTACCAGCGCGCATTGACTGAGCACCGTACCCCCGACGTCCTTGCCAAGCTCCGCACCGCTGAGAAGGAGAAGGCTGAATCCGAACGCTTGGCTTACATCGACCCCGTCAAGGCCGAGGAGGCAAGAGAGGAGGGTAATGCCTTGTTCAAGAAGGCCGACTTTGCCGGCGCTGTCAAGGCTTACTCTGAGATGATTAAGCGCTCTCCCGACGACCCTCGTGGATACTCCAACCGTGCCGCTGCTCTCCAGAAGTTGATTTCCCTTCCCGAGGCTGTTAAGGATTGCGACCTTGCTATTGAGAAAGACCCCAAGTTCATGCGTGCCTACATCCGTAAGGCACAGATTTTCTTGGCCATGAGAGATTACAACAAGTGTCTTGACGCCTGTGATGCTGCTACCTTGGCGGATACTGAGAGCAAGCACACCAGGGAGATTGAGGACTGTCAGAGAAAGTGCATGCAGGTTATGTACTCTGCACGTGAAGGAGAGACCGAAGAACAGACTATGGAGAGAATCCAGAGAGACCCTGAATTAGTATCGATTATCTCAGATCCTATTATGCAGAGTATCCTCAACCAGGCGAAACAGAACCCCCAGGCTCTTAACGAACATATGAAGAACCCTATGATTGGTACTAAGATTAGGAAGTTGATTGCAGCTGGTAAGTTTGATATTCATGTGGAATCTACGGGAATATATGGCTAATTGGATATCAATAGGTATCATTCGTTTGGGTTAATTTCTTCCCACTCTTCATTCATTCATTCATACGTTCTTTTCATGGAAAGCAAAGGAGGATTATGTTGCATGTAATATGGGGCATCGATTGGATTGGATTGGGTTAGGTTGGGTTTAAGGGGGTTTCGTCCTTTTGTTTTTGTTCGATTTGTTTTTTTAGCGAGATTTTTTTCAAAAAATTAGCTGGAGCTGGGGTTTTTCTTTTGAGTTTGGTTGGGTTTGGTTGGGTTGGTGAAGGAGGGTTTGCGATTGTGTTATCTACATATGTACGAACCAAATCAATTGTCTTATGAGTTCTTGTTCTTGTTCTTGTTCTTGTTCTTGTTCTGTTGTCTTGTTACTTGTTATGAATACAGATTTCGTTTTTTATATCAATCGATATCACGTACATACGATGGAGTTGTGAAACTGTGGGTGTGTTTCTTTGGTTGTTTGTTGGGGATTAATTTGCTGCCTGCTGTGCGTCACTTGCTGTCTGCTGTCTGCTGTTTAACACTTGATAATTGATACTTGAAACTGGATCCTTGCTGTTTGCAGTTGGATATCTGCTGTTTGGAAGTTTAAAGTTGAATGATAAGTTGATGTTTCGTTTTCCAGTCTTTACACTTTACACTTTACAGATTCTGGGATGTGGTAAGTAAGCTTTTCTCTACGTAAAATTGAAGAATGGACAATCGTTGAAGAATGGTTGAAGAATGGTTGAAGAATGATCGACAAAAGAGGTAAATGAGTGGTATTGCATACCTACAACGAGCCTACGGGTGGGACTAGATTTACTGAATTACTGAATTCCGAACCTTTCGTTGGAAAGCCTTATAGATGATGGAGGTAGCGTGATATCGCTTGGATATCTTATTCTTTGTATTATACCTGGATAGACTCAGAAGGGCTGGAAGTTAGAGGCTGGAAGTTAGAGGCTGGAAGTTAGAGACTAGAAACTGGAGACTAGAGGTTAATATGAGAAAGGCAAGGGAGAGACAGACGGTTCTATTGTAGATAATAATGACGATACAGAGAGAGGAAGCATTATATATAGTAGAAAAGTCGGTTGGTCTCATCCTCCTTATCGCATCCTGGTTGGTGTCCCACTTTGTCCCACTCAAGGTTCGTCCTGAGTAAACTCAAGAACCTTGTTCCGACAAGCTGGATTGCATGTTCTCGGCAATATTCCAATAGTTAAAAGGTTGTGTGGTAATATATTATACACCTAAAGAGTCGGGAATATCACATATGTCATGGATACATCGTAGACTATTAATATTCTCAGAAGTTTTCTTCATAGATTGTATAGTACGACTGTATGAGAGTTGTGAATAAGCTAGTAGAGTTTTGGTTGAAAGAGTAGGAGATTAGGAGCTTAGGAGTCTACATAGGAGATTGGGAATGGAGAGGATTGGGAGTGTAGTAGAGTTTCGAGTGAGAGAATGAGAGGTTGGGGATTAGGAAAGCTGTATACATGTATTACTCTCTGTCAATATCTGTATTTAATCATTACCTCAAGTTTCTAATATCTCAATATCTCGATACCCCGGGATGCTGGTGGTGGGGTGGGGTGTCTATTGACATCTATCAACATCTATCAACATCTCAACTTAACTCAAAGCACAAAATATGCGCAGTGCCTTGTGTAACCATTCCACCCATCCTCCCCGCACATCCTCCCCACGCATTCCCCCCGCGCATGCTCTACAAGCTTCCTCTACCCGGTAAACTTTCACGAATAACTTTCATCTAAAATCTAATCTAATACCTAATACCTACCATCGTGTATCTTGTATCTAACATCATATATCCAATATCCATCGCATCATATATCCTCCACTGTACTTTACTCTACTCTACAGTCGCGATTACAATATACCTTATCCACCGTAAGCCTCATGGTTATCTCCCCCCCCCCCCAGTATCCCCCTCCCCAGTCCCCTCATCCCCCTCATCCCCCCCCCCCTCCCCGCATCCCCCCCCCCACGTGCACCATCCATCTCTATAAAACCCCCCTACCTCTCCTCCCCGCAAAAGTCTCACACCGCTGGTGTAGGGGTAACATATTACCTTCCCAGGTTTTGCACCAAGGAACAGGTAATGCCGTGGGTTCGATTCCCGCGCGGTGTAGTGTCTTTTATGTTTTTTGCGTGGGGAAGGGAAGGTGGTACAAGCCGGGGGGGGGGGGGGGGGGTGGGACAAGGGGACAAGGGGACAAGGGGGGGGGGGGGGTGGGAAGGGGAAGGTGGGACAAGGGGTTTAGCGGATTGAGATTGAGATTGTTTACGTTTTGTTTTCTCTGTTGGGGAAGATTGGGGTGTAGGTGATAGGGTATCTTTTTAGTGAGGACGGGATTTGGTTGTGTTTTGATTTCCTGCATAGGCGTTTGAGGTGTCGATTGGTGTATGATTTGAGTTTTGGGGGATTAATCATTAGAGATTGGTGGAATGCGGTGGGTTTTGATATCATTACTGGTTAGTTAAGAATAATTGAACAGTAAAGAACGTGAGAGAGAAATGTGATGATACTGAAATTACAGTAGTAGTAGTAGTAGTAGTAGTAGTAGTAGTAGTAATGAGAAGCTGGAATTTGGAAAATCTTGAAGCTGTTATAATGGTCGTGAATTATGGTAAATATTTGATAGCAGCGGTTTTTTTTTTATGGGGGTAGCTACCTATGCATGCATGCAAGATTGTTAATATAGCTTGCTACGTGTTACGTGCTATATGCTATATGCTATAATTGCGTGATTCGTATACTGTGTTTGTTTTTTATGCAGGGTGTTGTGAAAATTTAGACTCTTGAATAAGTCGGACTGTAATGGATTATTCATATAATTTCAGATGTCACTACGGTGGTATTGTGATGTACTATATATCTCTATTAATGAGTTATCAGTTCCGGGTTGTGAGTTGTGAGTTGTGAGTTGTGAGTTGTGAGTTGTGAGTTGTGATGTGTGATGTGTGATGTGTGCTGTACATAGAATCAGTGATTCATGATATATATAGAGTCGAGAAAATGCAAATACAAATAAAAATTCAAACGTCAAAGACTAACAAGAACAATCACAATCACAATCACAATCACAATCACAAGAACCAAAACCCCCCACCAATCACCGACCACCGGCCACCGACAACTGACATACCTCCCAATCTTACAACCCCATTCAAAACAACACCCAAAACCGCCTATCCAGACCAAAAAAACACGCCAACACGCCAACTTAACATCCCCCCAATCCAATCTACCATCACTATTATAACCCCATTAAACCGCCAAAACCCCTTAACCCCCATTAACCCCCATTAACCCCCCTTAACCCCCCTTAACCCCCCTTAAACCCCTTATCCCCCATTAAACCCCTTCAACCCACCTCCACAACCCAGCCAAACCAAGTAAACTATTCAGGCCTAACATATATAAACCTGCAAGTCTGCAACCACTGCAAGTCTGCAACCACTGCAAGTCTGCAACCACTGCAAGTCTGCAACCACAGCCTTATCCAGAGCAACCAACTAGTCCATAAAAGACGCCCGGGCAGGAAATATCATCCACATCCACATCCACATCCACATCCACATCCACATCCACATCCAGTGGCAGCGTATCCAGTGGCAGCGTATCCAGTGCATACATACATATATACCGAAATCCCATACCAAAATTGTGTATTAATCGAGCCCCTTGTCCTTTGTTCTTTGTCTCTTGTCCCTTGTCCGTTGAGTTGCTAGAAATCATAACTAACACCTATGTAGGTAGGTATTTAAAACTAAAGCTTTTTGAGATAATTAATAATAGATTCCGGGGTATTTGTCTACCTACCTGTCTGTCTTTGTTCGATGCAGGTGGTCTGATGTATTCAGGGCTGGCGGTCTGGTGTATTGATGTAATGGTATAATGGTACGATGATCTGCTTGTGTAATGCGTAATGCATAATGCAGTCGGAAACTAGAAACTACGTTTAGAAACTACATAGCAGCTTAGTAGCTCAGCAACCTAGACCCAGCAGCCATCGCGGAAACTGGGAGTATGGTCATTAGTTAACGCCATTAGTTAACGCCATTGTCAAGAGGGAAGATGTAGCAAACCAACTTACCAGAAACCAACTTACCAGAAACCAGATGGAATAACAAGGGTTGAGATAATGAGGGTTGAGATAATGAGGGTTGAGATATACAGCTAACTAGCAGACTGTAGGTGGTGTTAAATGGGTTGGATGTGTTGTTTATTTATTGATACATGTACTGGTAACTGGTTGCACGGGTTTTCGTTGCGGTTGGGATGCGGTTGGAATGGGTTGGGTTTGTGTTTATTGAGGATGTTGAGGCTGTTGAGGCTGGTTAATAGGTGCGTTGGTGCACGGCTGTTACTTGGTTGCCTGGTTGCCTGGTTGCCTGGTTGCCTGGTTGCCTGGTTTTATCTTCTATGTATCTTCTATGGACCACTAGGAATTGAAACGACTTTCGTATCTGGGATACCGAAACTGTGACAACTAACGCAGGTCTGGCGGATTATAGATGGAGAATTACGATGATGAAGAAAGAATGAAGAATGAAGAATGAAGAATGAAGAATGAAGAATGAAGAATGAAGAATGAAGAATGAAGAATGAAGAATGAAGAATGAAGAATGAAGAATGAAGAATGAAGAATGAAGAATGAAGAATGAAGAATGAAGAATGAAGAATGAAGAATGAAGAATGAAGAATGAAGAATGAAGAATGAAGAATGAAGAATAAAAATAAATTCTGTTTCTGTTTCTGTTTCCTTTTGAAACTTTGAATTTACCAAAAAAAAAAAGAAAAAAAAATTCAGAACAAAAAAGAGGGTTTAAAAAAAGAGGGTTTAATACATCCGAATTTCGAAACATCATAGACTTCAGGACTGCAAGACTTCAGGACTGCAAGACTTCAGGACTGCAAGACTTCAGGACTGCAAGACTTGAGGACTGCAAGACTTCAGGACTGCAAGACTTCAGGACTGCAAGACTTCAGGACTGCAAGACTTCAGGACTGCAAGACTTCAGGACTGCAGGACTTGTGCACTAGCTACATAATGTACTTGTTAAATAGTCTATTTTTTTTTGAGAATGATAGGGTTAGACCATTTTACTGATTTTATTGATTTATTTCTGATTTATTTCTGATTTATTATTGATTTATTCCTGATTTATTTCTAATTTATTCCCGATTTATTCCCGATTTATTCCCGATTTATTCATGATTTATTTCTGATTTATTATTGATTTATTCTTAATTCATTCTCGCTTCATTCTTAATCCATCATCAATTCATTATTAATCCATCATTAATCCATCATTAATTTCTCTTAAATCATTGTTAAAACAAATACAGTCATCCCCACACTTTTAATTATCGCATGAAGTTTAAAGTTTGCACAGCTCTCATCCCAGCCACCAGCCACCAGTCACCAGTCACCAGCCACCAGCCACCAGCCACCTATAGCACATGTCACATGCGGCTCTTCTATTCCCCGCCACCGGGAATCCCAAGCTCCAAGCCAGCGACCACCGACCAGCGACCAGCCACGATCGGTAATTCTAACCCTGCCTTTGTAAAGCAGAAACCCAGCAACCCAGCAACCCAGCAACCCAGTAAACAAGCCGAGGATCTACCATCTACCATCTGCTCAACAAAAAAAGGTCTTCGAACTTCGAAGTTCGAAGAGCTATGGAAGGATACAAAAATGCTTGGCGGGGTACATAAGAGATGGGGTTGCTGAATGCTGGAGAGGGAGGTGATAAGGAGGAGAGGAGGAGGTGGGGGTTATATTCCTCGAGGCTTTCAAGGTCATCAAGGTTCCTATGGTTGCTATGGTTCCTATGGCTCCTAAGGCTCCCAGGCTTCGGGTTCTGGTTCTGGTTATATTAATTTCAAAGTTCAAACTTCAGACTCCAAACTTCCCTCGGCTTCCAGGCTTCCAGGCTTCCAAGCTTCCAGGCTTCCAGCGGCCAGAAGTAAGCAGCAAGCTCCCTAAAGTAAGCTAACCATTTCCGGCCTAGAATCAAGATTTCAAAGAGCTCTAAAAAGATGCCAGTGCCGGGTCCGGAACAACTCATATCCATACATACAGCAGTTATTCCCCCCATCTATGTACTCCTTCCCCACCTCCACCTCCATTATACATATATATACCACCCCGGGTTCATTCCGTTCCCGTTCCCGTTCCCGATTCGGATATCGAGGGTTGAGGGATCTTCGGCTCCGGCTCCGGCTCCGGCTCCGGCTCTGGCTCTGGCTCTGGCTCCGGAGTTTGTATGGATGTATGTATGTATGTATGGATGGCCTGCTGTTCCGTCTGTTGCGGTGGCATATCCGGATTTTCGGATTCGCGGCTTTGCGGATTCGCGGCTTCGCGGCTTCTCCGGATTGCTTTGGTTCTGGGATGGCTGTGAGGATGGATTGGTTATTTCATTCATTTGGGTTGAGGATGGGTTGTGCTGTGTTGCTGCTTTGCTGGGTTGCTATCGCAACATTTCGCAACGCTTCACAATGCTTCACAACGCTTCGCAATGCTTCGCCGCTGTGGTGCCTGAAATGCCTGAACTTGACTTTGCTGGGTTTTGCTGGGCTCCCCGGGCTCCCTGGGCCCCCCGGGCAGAGAGCTATGCATGCATAAAAGCTGTATTATGAAGACACACTGAGCCGCATTGACGTAGTTTCCCTCGCCACCCCGTCTTCAACAGATAGATAGGTAGATAGATAGACAGATAGCACATGTCCTCTAGATAATCTTTATACTGGTTCTTCACTACGCTCGACGGATCTGTGATGGTGAATCGGGGGGAAGGCGACTTGTGGTGCTGGTGGTGGTGAATCAAGAGGACAGAGCGGTGGAACAACAAGTGTTGAGCGACGTCTGTGCCCAGGCAAGACGCGACTGAGTGAGTATCTTTCGTTGTCTAAGCTGTTGGAGGAATGGCGGGTTGCTGGCCTTGGAGCTGTAGAGTACAGAGCGAAGCTCGCATCGAATTCGTCAACAAGAAAAAACGGGGCTACATCCGTCTGTCTTGTCTGTTCTGTTAGCTACTGACTACCTCCACAACTTCTTCCCAACCTCCATCTCCATCATTCATTGAGAAACGAAACCTTCTTGCTGTTGGAGATAC